TGTATTTTTCACTATAATTAAAAAAAAAAAGTCAGTTGACCTTTCTCCTGCACTAAGGTCTTCCTGACTCTATGCTCACTACACTTGTGCGTGGATGGCCCCATCACACAGTAGGGGCATCTAGGAGGTGAGTGGCAGCAGCAGCTAACGCGTGATGAGCCTTGCTATGTGCCAAGCACTGTTCTAAGCAACCTATGAGGGTGATATGACGGCATGACCCAGTGCTTGGATGGTGACTCTTTCAGCAACAGGAAGGGGCCTGCAGTAGTGAGGCGAGTGGCACGTGAACAAAGATCCCTGCGGAGGGCAGTACGTCCTTTTATCCATGTCAACCCACCCTTGTGGGGAGGATCGACAGGTCAGGGCTCCTCCACTTATTCCAGGGGTCCAGAGGGACTCTCAGCAAAATCTCCAAGAGGATTCACCTCTACCCTCTCCGCTCCCCAAAAGGAACACCCGGAGGTGAACCTATTGCACACGCCTACCTCATCTGACCTCTCTCTATCACCCCAGTTCAGGCCAATCAAGTGGTTCCTGAGGTACGCACCACTAAGATCTAGCATCTCAATTTGTACAAAGACTCTCTTGGGGGTTCTGTCTCAGCAGCCCGGCTTCCCTGTTCCCCAAAGCCTGGTACTTCCCTGCCCCCCACTCCCCCCACCCCACAGACATAAAGAGTTCAGAGGCTGAGGCCAACCTAACAGCAAACAACCAAGTTCAAGATGAAAGCTCCTGGCCTGGGGTCACAGCCAGCCAAGCACAGCATCCAAAACCAGAGGATTGTGTTCCTTTTAAATGCCAGACTATAAATAGAGCAAAACCTGAGGAAAATACTTAGAAGCAGCAGTCATCACCTCCCTTACACCCCCTCCTATAGGACTCCCCCCACCCCCACTAGAACATTTCAACACTTGCTAATCTCTACCCTCAATAAGCCTCTATTACTGTGCCATCTGTAATCATCCTAAGGGCTCTAGTAAAACTCTCAAAACGATTCAATAAAAATTCACCTTAACTGTTAAAACTAACCAGAGTAGTTAACTAAAGCAGATTTATCGATTTGAGAATTTTTTTGTTTTGGCTGCCCTCAACTTTGAGCGGAACATAAATAAGAAAATGAGCCTTTAGGAAGGAACCTCTTTCTTCTATTTCCTTTCAAAAATCCAACTTCTCCACTTTCCATTTCTGCAGTCTTAGACAGTGAGAGTTCAATTTCAAATGAATGACCCAGACGCCTCCGTGATTCTGGATAATCAAAGGATCTATTGTGTTCCCTTTACATACAAAGGCAGTTAAGTGGACCAGTGCGCTTTCCAATTTCCAGCAAGGTTTGAAACAAAAGAGGTTTTCATGTTAACCCTTGGTTCCCTCCAAAATTCAAGTCATGTGCCCAGTATGAGCATTTTGGTCAGATGTAATTTAACTACATGATCCATAGTTACAGTTTTTTAAGTTTTAGGAGGAGGATTGGTGTTAATAACAGGATGTCAGAACCTCAAAATTGGAATTAGCCTTATTACTATGGACTGGGGAGTACATAGTAGGGGAGTACAAAGGGCCCAGAAAATAAAAGGAGAGAGGTCTGGCACACATGGAAAACCTCAGAATAGGACAATGCAGGTTAGAGGCCAGCAGGATCAAAGAGGCTTCCGGGAACAGGTCAGCTACATGAGCAGTTTAAGAAAACCCAATTAGGGATGGGGTGTGCCAGCGAAAGGCAGGGCTTGGGGCGACCCCTACCGCACCCCCAAAGGAGAAGTGGGGCGGGGTGGACTGCCGCTTATTTCAGTAAGGGAGGAGGTGTGGCTCAGCCAGGCACAACACAGGAGACACCTGCGCGCCCATGCCTGTTCTAGGGGAAAGAGAAAATAGAATTTCCCAGCAGACCAGAGTCCAGCTGAACCAATTTACTAAGCTCACTGACAGACCCACCATTCAACAGCTTCATATGCCTAAGGGGGAGGGCAAGGGTGTACGAGAAGCAGGCTCTGGAGGCAGACTGCCTGGGTCCCACCCCAGCCTGTGCCCTCCTGGTAACTCCCCTGAGCTTCAGTTTCCTTATCTGAACACGTAAGGGTGCTGTAAAGAGTACCCGACTAATAAAGCACCTAGCAAGTTGCCCTAGTCAACGTGTCCTCAATGTGTGCAGCAGAGGGAGGCTCGCACTCCTCAGTTTCACCTATACACACCCAACGCCTAATGCTTCCACTTTACTTGACCCTCACCAGACCCCCATTTTGCAGATGAGGAAAGAGATGCAAAGTTAAATGGTCTGATGGGTAAATGGCCAAGCCGGATGGCAAAACCAGCCTGCGCCCTCTCATAAAATGCCGATTACCGCCTACAGCGCCCAACACGCTAAACGCTTGGTCAATGCCAAATCCCCTTGTGGGAGCCTCTGCAATTTAGGAAGAGGCTGGGGGAGCAGGTCACCAGCACCTGCAGGAGCAGGCTTGAGAGCAAAAGGGTTCAAGATGATTCTGAAGGCAGGAAGGAGGGGCGGCCACGTGGTGCGAGGCCAATGGGGCGCTGAGCCTTTGAAAGTCAGCCTCCGCCTCAGTTCAACCACAGCATGAACAGGGAGGAAGCACCTGACAACTCAGGGACTATTTCCAAAGATCTAAAGAAAGGTGCCTTAACTCCCTTTCTCACGCCTTTGAAAGTACACACACAATTCCCACTCTAAGAAAAACCCCAACCCAGGCTGCACCCCACCCCCTTCCAACAGCCTTTCCCGGGGGTGGGCCCCTACCCCAGGAATTCCCAACTGAGGGACTTTCTTTAGGATTACAAAGGTGATTATTCAGAACCTGATAAAACACAGAACTCAGTGGAAAATGCAGGAGCAGCCAGATGGGAAAGAAGATTTTTGAGTTTCATTTTTCCTTAAACCAATTTCCTGTGGCCTGCAGCAGTGCCCCAAGTCCCAGATCAGCAAGCGAAGCCAGGCAGGTTTCTGCAGACTGAAAGTGATGCTAGCGAAATGCTTCCACTGGTTCATTCTCATTTCTGGGGTTCTTCCTATGAAGGGAGGGGATTCGCCAAGTTGCAGATGGCTTGAGAGGTTGGCTGGGGATGGGGACAGGCCTGTCCATAATCACCCCCAAATCAGACTGGCCTGATACCCAAATCCTTTTCCTAAAGCTACCTGCCGGCTTTTGGGGGGTAATCGCTGGCGGGTTTAAAAGGACCTCAAAATACCAGGCATCTTGCTTGCTCCTTAAGAAAGCTTAAGACACCTTAGGAAAGCTGCCTAACCTCCAAAGCTATAACCACCAGCTGCACCCGGCTGCCTCACCCCGACGCCCCCCTCCTTTTCCCTTCTCCTCATGTTTTGAACTTTATTTTCCCACATTCAGCCTTGAATTCTTTCCTTCCTTCCCCTGCAGTAGCGGAGAAGCAGCAAAGAGGCAAACACTTCGAGGGCAGCTCGATTCTTTATCATCCCCGCCTGCCTTCTTCCCCCTCTAAACAAAGCCCTGGAGCCAAGTAAACAACAACGCGTTCTCCAGAGGAATTGTTTCCTCAAGGGAAATTATAAAGTGACCCTCCCTCCCCAACACACACACACAGGGCAGACACCCATCTCAAGGAAGGCAGAGCTGCCCAGAACTCCTGCTATCAGGAGCTAAAACACCCTACTCCCTTCTGAAGCTCATACTCCCACCAGCCTCACCTACCAACGGCCCCCGCCCTGGGAACTGCTCCCGGACAGAAGGGTCCCCACTAAAATCCAACACCCAACCTTCTGGCCTAAACCTCCCCTTCTACCGGCTCCTAAGAGGACACGTCTTTATTTGCCCGGCTCACCTGTGGGAATGTCCGTCGATTTGGGGACAAAAAGGGGGTACCACAGGCGAGATATCTCCACATTTGTTCCCATTTTACATACGGGCTGTTGAGGCCAGAAAAATGAGAGACAACTACACAGCCATAAAGGATTGGGGAGCCGCAGTAGTTTAAAGATTGTTTCTCATCAAACTTCCTTTCTGGCATCTTTTACCCCAAGAGAAATGTAACACCTTGGACAATATCTCTACTCCACCTCACAACCTAGAGCCTTCACGGGCTCTTACCCAGGTCTGGTCGTTCCACTGGAGGGAGGCCATCACTGCAGGCCAAGAAGCGTGAATGGTTGAGGCCAAGAACCTTCGAGAAACTGGGGTAGAAGTCTTCGATCCCCAAACAAGCCCCACAGTTTATCCACGTGAGATCAATGCCATCCATAGGGCATATGAACCAATGCCAACATGGAGGAGAAACTCTCCCACAACCTCCCATTCTATACAACCTCTCTGCCAGCCGCCCCACCCCCATCCCGCCCCGTCCCCCGAAGAGGGGCTCTCCGGGTGTTGTTCTTTTGTTCAACCTGTTACTTTCACAAAGTTGAACTCCGAGCCCTTCTGGGATGTCTCCGCGAGATAAGCTTTCCCGGAAGCCTGCGCGCGTCCCCAGCATTATAGCCACCAGCCCGCATCCCGGGGGCTCAGGCCCGACAGAGCCCCGGACCCCCCCCCCCCCCCCCCCCCGCTCCCGAGCCCTGCGGGGGCGGGGTAGCCTCGCGCCACTCCGCCGGGCTGGTGAAGAAACGCCGAAAAAAGCCGGCCGGGTGCCGCACTTGGCCCCGGAGCTGGGAGGTAGAGACGCGAGGAGGCGGCACCCGGCGGGTCTCCCGAACTCTGGGAGCGTCTCCAAGGAAAGACAAACGCCTTTAACCGCCCCACAGCCTCCTCCAACCAGGGAGGTACCCGCACACCCACACCGAGCCACTGCGGGCCCTGGTTCACCCGGGGGTCAAGCCTAAATTCTTCCCTCCGGACAAACTGGGTTCCAAATTCTCCGCGCGCGTGGGAGACTCCTGCGCCCACGGGTGAACGGCAGATTCCAGCAGTCAGACTCATGGGGAGACATCCTCTCCGGTCACCCCGGGACCACCCACAGGGAGTGAGGGTTATCCAAAGCTGCGAGGCGCTCCCCTTCAGCACTTCTAAACCTCCAGCTCACCTGCAGAATCTTGTCCAGGCCCTCCTGGCCCAGGCACGGGAACTCCTTGAGCAGATGCAGTTTCTGCGTATAGTAGTTTTTCTTGGCCTCTTTCCAGTGCGGCTCCTCCAGCACCTCAAAGATCGCCGCCCCGATGGCCAGGTAGAAGATGATGGCCGAGGTGAGCAGAGGGCCCCGGTCCACCATGGCTCCCGAGAGGCCACCTCCTGGAGAAGGAGAATGCCTCAGCTAACCCCCGCGGCTCCCGGTCCCACCCGCCCTCCAGCCTCTGGAAACAGCTGTTTGAATTTGGAGCTCCGCATGCGCAGTGCCCCGTTCAACCCGGCGCCGCTCCACCGACACAGTTGCTCCTGCAAGTTGGCCCACTGAGCGCAGGGAACTGTGCGGGACCTCCTCACGCGGGCCAGAGGTGGGCGGACACCAAGGGGGCCGAGGGGCCACCCTGGACCGCGGGAGCTAAAGCAGCTGGGTGAACCCAAGGCAGAACTCCCGGAGACACGTGCGCCGCTTCTCCGCGCGCCACAGCAGTGTGCGCCTCGCCCGCCTCCGCGCGCCTCTTTAACCCGGGCCTGTTGCTCTCTGCCCGTGGAGGAGGGGCCCGCTGAGGGCCCGCCCCCGTGCAGGCCCCGCCCCGTGCAGGCCCCGCGCCTGGTCCCAGAGTTACCGCTAGGTGCGCGCTGGAAGCAGTTGCGGACCATGTTCGCTGCCCAGGGCCGCCGCCAGGGTAGGCTACGCGCCCCGCATGCCCGGAGGCGTTGTGGTCTCTTGGACGCACGTTTCTTACTAGTGCTGGTGTATTAACTAAAATGAATGTGTACCTAATGACTGGGGTCAGGAAGTTATTGCTATTGTTATTTTCATTATAAGCCAGTTTTCATTTATTGATGTTTCTGCCAAGAAAGCTTGATTCTCCGTCTTTCTGTCTCACACACCTTCCTGTAAGACTGGGGAAAGGACATTAGAAAGGGACTGGAGAAAGTCAGAGGATATTAGGAACTAAACCAGTCACAAAGGTGTAACTCCTTCCTCTCACCCCAGTCTCACCTGCCCTGGTGAACATCTGAGAAAGAGCAGTCAGAGGCAGCACTGTTCATATCCCTCCCCACAAACGCACAGCAATTCTACAGGAAACACTTGATGTCTTTCATACTCCCAAGCATATTTAAAATAGCAAACACCCTGCCCCAGACACAGAAACACACACACTCACATACACACACACTCCTTATCCCCCTTGTTGATCTTATTTTCCTCCTGGCAATAAATTCCCTCTAATATAAAACACTAAGATGATGACAGCTGGGGGGTGGAGTCTGGATTGTTTGATGACATATCCCCAGTGCTTGTTATATAGCAAACACTCAAATATTTGTGCAATGGAGTGAATAAATTTATGAATTTGTCAAAAACATATTTGTCAAAAGCACACACCCAATGGAAGTCCTAGCCAGAGCACTTAGGCAAGAAAAAGAAATAAAAGACATCCAAGCTGGAAAAAAAAGAAGTAAAATTGTCACTATTTGCAGATGACATGATATTATATATAGAAAACCCTAAAGATTCCATCAAAAAACTGCTAGAACTAATTAACAAATTTAGTAAGGTTGCAGGATGCAAAATCAATACACAAAATATGTTGTGTTTCCATACACTAATAATGAACTATCAGAAAGGGAAATAAAGAAAACAATTCTATTTATTGCATCAAAAAGAATAAAATACCTAGGAATAAACTTAACCAATAGGGTGAAAGACGTGTACACTGAAAACTGTAAGACATTGATGAAAGAAACTGAAGAAGACACAATTAAATGGAAAGATATCCTGTGCTTATGGATTGGAACAATTAATATTGTTAAAATTTCCATAGTACTGAAAGCAATCTCCAGATTCAATGCAATCCTTACTGAAATTCCAATGGCATTTTCCACAGAAATAGAACAATCCTAAAATTTGTATGTAACCACAAAAGACCCAGAATAGGCAAAGCAATCTTAAGAAAGAAGAACAAAGCTGGAAGCAACACACTTCCTGATTTCAAACTATATTACAAAGCTATAGTAATCAAAACAGTAAAGTATTGGCATTACAAACAACTTATGAATCAATGGAACAGAAAAGAGAGCCCAGAAATAAACCCACAAAATTAACATGGTCAATTAATTTACAATAAAGGAGTCAAGGATATACAATGGGGAAAGGATAGTCTCTTCACTAAATGGTGTTGAGGAAACTGGACAGCCACATGCAAAAGAATGAAACTAGACTACTATCTTATACCATACACAAAGATTAACTCAAAATGGATTAAAGATTTGAATATAAGACCTGAAACCATAAAACTCCTAGAAGAAAACATAGGTGGTAAGCTCCTTGACATCAGGTCATAATTTTTTGGATCTGACTCCAAAAGCCGAGGCAGCAAAAGCAAAAATAAACTAGTGGGACTACATCAAACTAAAATGTTTCTGCACAGCAAAGGAGATCATCAACAATGAAAAGGCAAATTTTTGAATCAAGAAAATGTTTGCAAATCATGTATCTGATTTGCAGATATTTGCAGATATTTTATATATCCAAAATATATAAAGAACTCATACAATTCAATATCAACAAAAACAAACAATTCAATTAAAAAGTGGACAGAGCATCTGAATAGACATTATTCCAAAGAAGACATACAGATGGCCAACAGGTACATGAAAAGATGCTTAGCATCACTAATCATTAGAGAAATGCAAATCAAAACCACAGTGAGATATCACCTCACACCTGTCAGAGTGGCTATCATCAAAAAGACAACAAATAACAAGTGTTGGCCAGTATGTGGATAAAAGGGAACCCTGTGCACTGTTGATAGGAATGTAAATTGATGCAGCCACTGTGGAAGACAGTATGGCTGCTCCTCAAAAAGTTAAAAATAGAACTACCATATGATCTAACAATTCAATTTCTGAGTATTTATCCAAAGAAAATGAAAACAATAACTCGAAAACATACATGCATCCCCATGTTCATTGCGGCTTACAATAGCCAAGACATGGAAACAACCAAAGTGTCCACTGATGAATGAATGGATAAAAAAATTGTGGTATATATATACAATGGAATACTAAAATTGAATACATAAAAGAGGAAGAAATACAAAAAAAAGAAATCTTGCCATTTGCAACAATATGGATGGACTTTGAGGGCATTATGCTAAGTGAAATAAGTCAGACAGAGAAGACAAATACGATATGATCTCACTTATATGTAGAATTAAAAAAAAAAACCTAATAAACTCATAAATACAGAGAACAGATTGGGGGTTGCCAGGGATGGGGTTGAGGGTTGGGTGTAGGGGGTTAGAAAGTACAAACTTTCAACTACAAAATAAATAAGTTCTGGGGGTGTAATGTACAGACAGCATGGTGACTATAATTAAATAATACTGTACTGCATATTTGAAAGTTGCTAAGAGATGAAATCTTAAAAGTCTTCATCACAAGAAGAAAAAAATTTTTGTAACTGTGTATGACACATGTCAACTGGACTTATTATGGTGATCATTTTGCAACACATACAAATATCAAATCATTATGTTGCACACCTGAAATGAATGTTATATGTCAATTATACCTGAATTAAAAAAATTAACCAAACTTATCTTTTAAAAACACAATAAAACAAAACAAAAAACACTCACCTGGGATATTTCTCACTCACCTTGCTACCAAGGATTCATAAACCTGAGGCCACAATACATCCTTTCCATGCATCTTAAGCAGGGCCTGTCATTACATCCACTTTGCAGTGAGGAAACTGAAGCTTGGGTGGGTTAGTTTGTTCAAAGTCTCTCAACCAGCAACAGCCAGAAGTTGGGGAGGGGGCACACTCCCTCCAGCACTCGTATCAAAGGCTGGCCCTGACCCTGGTGCCTCTGTGTGGGCAGGTGGAGCAGCGGGCTGTGCACTGACCCCTGGCCAAGGCTTTTTCTTTTTTTTTTTTCCCATTGCGGGATGGGGAGTCTTCCTTGGGGGCTGGGGGATGGTATCTGTGGTATCTCCAAATCAGGCTGGAGCCCAGGGACTAGGGATGCAGGTTTGAAGGAATGATCTGGGTTTGTAGATGTTTCTGTCTCTCCTTTATGGCACCACGTGTGTCCCCTGGAGCCTGGGGCAGGAATCTGGGAAGCCCCAGGTTTCCTAATTCTGCATCTCTGAAGACTTCAGGGCCCTCTTCCGTAACCCCTGCCCACCTCCTACAACTCTGCACTGTGACTCTCCAGCCCTCAGCCTGTAAGGAGACCAGGCTTCTGTCCCAGAACCCCCCCACTCTGGATAAAGTCAGGGACTGTGGTGTGAACAGTTCATCCAGCCTGGGGTGGGGGCAGTTTGAGAGGCCACAGGCCCTCTTTGTTTGCAAAGTTCTCTCCCATTCCTCTCCTACCTCCAGTCTGCGTTCTCTTCCTAAGAAAATAAAGGGCCTCTTCCTATTTCAGTCTCACTCTCTCACAGAAACACTGCAGGAGACTTTGGGATGAATTGGGTTTTATTTGAAGTTTTTAGAATTTCAGCTTTATCTTTCCACATTGCCTACTTCTCCATTCCCTGACTCCTTCCTCTTTTGGCCCCCTCAATGTCACGTTCATTCTCCTCACCCTCTCCTTCTGTGGCCCCATTCCTTCCCTTCCCACATTTTCCCAACCCCCTTAACCCAGCTCTCCGTTCTCCCTGCTCCTGCCTCTCCTGCTTTCCTTTGGCTCCGTCTGCGTTGAATGTTCTCCCCCCTCCTCCGCCCTTTCCCTCACTCCCTGGCCCCATCCACACTTTTGGACCAACAATTTCCGATGGAGATCAGGAGATGTGCCCATCCTCTGCACAGCAGCCAGTGGGGGCTTTGGGAAATATAAACTGTGCCGAAACAAATGAACGTCTGGACAATTTGAACCTCAGGGACAGAAGAGGAAAAAGGTGTATTGGGGGAGGGGGTGTGTTCTCTTAAACGGCTAATAAATACATTCCAATGGATTTATTATTATGCTTATGGATGGTAATCACTCCGGAGCGCCATCTTTTGAAAGGCAATCAGCTTTAAGAATGATTGAGTTTCACCTTGGTAGCAACACAACAGTAGACTCAGCTGGGTCCCAGGTGAGAAACTGGCACAGCAGATGAGTTATTTTCTCCAAGGCCATGCTCCCAAGCTCTGGCCGCAAAAGGATCCTTACCCACTTTCGTCATTTCTTCCTCGGTTCAATTAGGTGAAGGGTTTATCCTCTTGGTGAATGAATGGCTTGATGATCCTTTCATAATGTTGAGACATTTACTGTTTTACTTCTGCTTAAGATTA